CAAGCGACTCGTCTTTACTTGTAAATGATTAAAATACTCTTAGAAAATTTTTGGAAATTCAAATTGGATTTGTAAAAAAAATTTCCGGGATCAGGGGCCGTAAAAACTGGGAAGCATCCCATGACACTTTTCGGAGCGCGTGGCTGATGCCTTTAACCCAAAGAAAATTTATGCCCCTCTCCTCCGGACAGAAACCCTGGGTACGCCACTGGTCATGACGACTCTAACTTTTAAATTTCCCAAAAATCACACATCACCCACTTCTCAAAACAACAAACATCTATATAAACAACATCAAAATATCCCTAGCGCGACCTTTGCCGAGTAATCGATTTATCGCCATAGAAAAACAAGGAAATGTCGATCGAAGAGTCATTGCTTGTCATTCTTTGTCTCGCTTTTGTTACTTTCGCACAACTCTGAATCATCAATTTTCGACTACCATCGCTTACTCATAATTCAGTATTGTAAACCAGATTGACCCAAACTGGAAAAAAATCAATCCGAATCAGAGAATATTCCCAACTATCGAACAGATATATGAACAGATTTCCTGTAATTTATGTGAGCACATATTTTGTTCATGAAGATTTTTATGTATCCTGGTTCCTACCACCTGTGACTCGAATTGTTCCGAAACGTCAAGCCTCCATTAGCTTCGTGTAGAAATTCCTCGACAATTCATTATATTTTTGTAAAACGTTACGCCGGTTGTTGACGGCACAAAAAATGGTTTTTGACTGTCGATAAAAAATAAGTCATTTCCCAAATTTCCAAGTTAAATTGAGTCTGTTAGCTGTGGTTAACGAGATCATTGTCAAGTTCCTTTTGTTGGTTCAGAAGATCAAAGCCCTTGATCCATGTAAATCACTTAAATAGACTAGCGGTACTGTGTAGCACACTCATAATCTAACCTCGATCTGGCACGAGTTTGACAACTGCAACTTTGTAATAAATACAGGGTGGGGCAAAAGTCTGGGAGCCTACTTTGCAGTGCTGTAAATCAAGAAACTACTGATGATTTTGACTCCAAATTTGTGCCACATATTGCTGCGATCATGCTCTACAAAGCACACTTTGGCTGACTGAAAATGCTTGCTATATGCTTTTGTAGGAGTTGGATTTATCAAACAAGTGCTCTGCAAAATGAGAAAATTGAAATTTTTGGTCTTTACAACTTATTTCGTAACTAACGATACAGTGGATATTCTGAAGCACTTCGATGAGTATAATGTAGAGGAGACTCGCGCTATCAATTCTTAGCCGTTGCATTCGTCAGATCTATTCTTTTAAAAACGCAAAATATATATTGCGAATACCAGCTGCGTGCCAGCGGCCATTTTTCTTTAGAATAAATTTTAAAGCTATAGGGGCACAGCAGGCACTGAATTCTAGGCTATATTCTTTCCATGAGTCTTCTATGCAAGCGTGTACTAGTGTTCGATCGATCAAGCAATTTCAATACTTTTCAGATTACGATTCTTGGCTCCCGTTCGCGCAATCGCATCCAGATTTCCAGTATACGAGTACAATTGCCTTTAATTAGAATTCTAAAACTTTTTCCTAAACACTGCGAAAAAAAATTTCTTCGCAGCGCGTTGTAGCCAAAAGCTTGCTCTATCACACCGCATATTTGCCTGGTGAAATAAACAATTATCGTAAAGGCGTGGAACGAATATCATCACCACTGTCTGCGTGCCACGACAGTCGGACTCGCCAAGATTTCAAAGGGCTGCTTTGAAACCAGAAGAGGCAATCTCAAAATTTGAAAGCAGCGCTGTATCAGTAAGGGTTCGATTTATGTGTGCACCAAATTCTTTGTTCCTAGGCACTTTCCTTCTGATTTTATCTGAAAAGGTACTAGGCTCCCAGACTTTTGCCCCACCCTGTAGTTTCCTTCAAAAAACCACAACTTGCTCTTTAGTTGCAGAATATCTGTTGAAAGATGGTTTCAAACAATGATAAGGAACTCCCACAATTTCCAATTATATCAGTTCGTCTCACATAGTATTTGAAAAAAAAAAGGATTTAACGATTTTTTTTGAAAGCAGACTTTCAAAGAAACACATTATTCTAGCAGACTTCCGTGCCTCTTGAGATAACAGAGTTAAAGTTGACATTTTTCTCTCATTAGCCTGGCTGTAACTCCATAGTCTCATCTGTTACTCTTTGAGAATTTTGTGCCGAAAAATGGCTCATAGTCGTTTTATTGTTGAGAATAATCTGTGTTTTATTCAAATCTTACATCGAAAGCGATTGCAGAACTATGCTCTGAACTGGAAATCGACAAATTCCCTCACTTTTCTGGTTGTGATTTAGACAAATAGAGATTCAAGAAAATGGTTTTTTCCTGAAGATGCCGAAAAAGGTGGATAGTTTGATATTTTTGCAAAACTTTCTCACATAAATTTCGTAAATCAGTTGCCTTAAACATTACTCATGGAGTGCCTGAATTTACCGGTCCAGCACTTGTCTCTCCCTTCCACATCTCTACTAGGGCCGAATAAAAATCAACATCCCCGCTGGGAAGGGGATCGCAGCTTAAAAGAAAGCTTCACATGCTGAAGCTCCAGATATCTGGATTTCACGTTGTCTACCTATCCGTAAGTATTCCTACTATTTTTCACTATGAACATATTGAACAGGGGCAAGAAGGTGTACAATCCGCATTTTCCAGCTATTTGTAGATCCCCTGATGATCCTCGGTTGTCGACCGTCTTCTCTTTGAAGTCACTTTCTTTCTTCGAAGTCAACGAAAACCTTCCAAAGTTGTACTGTTCGTCGAAACCAACAGTGCTGTTCCTGATAAGAACAAATGAGTTTTTAAAATATCGAATTTTTCGATAAACCCCAACACCGCAAATTTCGTGGTTCCAACACATCATTTGTTCTTATCAAAAACATGCTTAGCACTGTTTGGATAGATAGTCAGTGAAAGTTGGCATATTTTCATTAAGTCTGAAGAATGAAAAATGACTTTGAAGAAAAGACCGTCGGGCACCGGGGATCATCAGGGGATCATATAAAAAGCTAGAAAATGCGGTTTGTACAGCCTCTCGCTTCTGTTCAATATTTTTATAGTAAAGGATAGTAGGAATACTTACGGATAGGTAGAAAACATGAAATTCGGATATCTGGAGCATCAGGATACAAGGCTTTTCTTTTAAGCTGCGATCCCCTCCCCAGCGGGGATGTTGATGCATGCGGACCTTAATCACCTCCCAATTCTTTTTTAATCCTTCCCCACTCCATACACCTCCCCCTTCCTCTCCTAGGAGATTGAAAAAAGATATTCATAACAAGAAAGAACATAAAAAGAAAAGGGAAATAAAAAGCTAAGCATAACCAAGGTCAAACTGGATTGCTTGGGGGCGCTCTTTGCGATCCGAGCAGATTGCGCCGCTAGCGAAAACTTTAAAGGGTTGTAAAAAAAGCCTAGAGGAAAGATTATGAAACAGTTATTGCTCATATGAAAACGTTCACGATGAAGTTACAATACAACTTCCGTTCCAGCTAAATCGGAAGAAAGTACAGCGCAGCCGTTTCCATAGGTTTCCATAAATATTAGGGCCATAGTTCGGGTCCTCACGCGCATGCGCACACCAAATGTGGCGTCATCTTTGTAAACAACGCTTTTGTCTGATTGGAGTAGAGCATGCCTGTTGCATTCCGCAAGCATGCCAGCGGCATGTCGGCGGCATGCTTGCGGTTCTTCTTCGCGGATCTCACAGAAGCGATACCCCTTCGCTTTCTCACTTAAAAACGATACCCAGCTTGACCCGGTTTTAGCTGTGCGGGGCTGCTCATACTTCATGAATACTGTCAAATTTGTAGACTAGACAAACTTATTCAAGAAAGTCACGTTACCCAAGCACAAGACTTTTCTTGCACCCTTTTGGATGCATGTCGGTGCTTGTAAATACAATAATTCCCACAAACTGTGCTTTGTCCATGAGAATCAGGAAAGAGCTCGTGACGAAAAATTGCTTAAGAGGTGATGCCTCCTACTCAATCCAAGTGAAGAGCATAGTCATCTGAACATGGCTGGCAGATGCTTATTCATCCAGTTGTAATATCTTGCTATCCTTTGCAACAAATTACTGTCGGGGTCAGGTCAGCTAGTTTTTACTGGGGGCTCGTTGACACCCAAAACGGGTTCTTTGTTAGCTTCAAGGGTGCAAGATTCTGTGAGATTATGTTTTTAGACATAGTACAAGTTTTCTATTTGTTAAAAGGTCTGGAGCTTTGTGTCTTATTTACCTATGGTTTAGCTTTGTTTTTTCTTAAGACTGATGACTGGCTGACCTCGGGCGTTGTTTGAACTTTTTTTTTGAATTCTTCTTCTCTTTGATGCACCTCGTGTGTACTTATAAATACTTAAACAAACACAGCACATTTATTCACTCATTATCCATCCGAGGTTAGAAACAAAACGATTAACTCAGCTTTTTTGGACTTTTCTGTTTCACTAACCTGCTTCACTATACATCAATCACCCCCTTTTACTGATAACGCTAAAGGCTCTCGTCCATGTAAACGATATTTTTGTAATCAGCTGCTCATTCACCCCCTCTCCTGTTCCCACTCCCAGCCACGAGGTGAAATTTTGCAGAAAATCGATAAAATCGATATCGGTCAATGACGAAAAGTAGAATATGACACCCGCCCCGCCTCGAAGTGTATGCGGCCAAGTTTGGTCCGGACTGGTTCGGAAATATTTTTATTTTTAGCATACATACACATAGACACAGAGAGAGACAGACAAATAGACAGGCAGGCAGACAAGCAGGCATTCAGCTTCATTATATACTGAATATTCGACAAAAGCGATTAAATTGGGTCCAACAGCTCTAAAGTAAATTCTGCCTTATGGGACGCTATTTGTTGTGTACTTACGTTAGATCAGTTCCCACACTTTGATTGTAATTGTTCAATTTTTCCTATGATGGTATGTCTCCGCGACTGATGCAAGCCTTTGTCACTCCAATAAGAAATTCTTGGTTTTAGAATGCGAGCGCTAATGCTTACCCTAGTTTTTCTACTGACACTGATCGCAATGGCATTGACCGATATAGTCGGTAAACATGCAGTTGCCATTCGTGGTCAGCTGATGTGCGGAGGTGTGCCAGCTGAAAATGTGAAGGTCAGGCTGTTTAGAACAAAACAGCCAAAGAAGGATGGTGAGTAATCTAATATAATTCATGCGAGATCATATGACAATGTTTGAGACTTGTACATTCAAAGATGACTCTCACCAGCTGCCAATGTCATTTTTCGATAATTCGCACCTTTCTTTGTATTTTTTTTCAGATCTCAATCAAATACTTGCCGAAACGACCACTGGCAAACCCGGTGTGTTCCTCCTTGAAGGCAACACAAATGGTTTTCCAATAAACGAAACTGGCATGCAACCGGTCGTGTCGTTCTATCACACTTGTGACGAAGATCCTGCGAAGCTGAAGAAGGTGAAACGCACAATTTTTCATGTCTGTTCAAGCTGTTCGTCTAATTAGTATCCAGAATGGTTACCGCAAGTTCAACTACAACATTCCGGACGAATATGTAGCAAAGGGAGCGAAAGCTAAAAGAACTTTTGATTTTGGAACGCTAAACCTTCAGGTAAGATAGGCCACTAATGACAGGTTCGGGCCTATGCTTGGTAGCGTACACACATTATAAGGAAAGAGAAGGGAGAGTGCAGAAGGAAAGCTGAGCCATTGTTGATAGAGAACCTTTTCGAGACTTCTGCAGCTGATTTTGATCCATATGCATGAGTTCCTGTAGCGAGGAAAGCGGTGCCCCTTCGCTGGAAGGACCGCATTGGTGTTGGCTCGCGCTCTACCTCATGACGGATGGAGCAGTTCATTTGCCGCATACGTGGACATATCCGCTGGAAAAGAAGCGCAGTTTATAAGAAAGCTTCAAATCTTACTACTTCGAAGATTCGATGGTAGCATGCATTAGGAACCCCCTTGGAGGGTGAGCTCATTGGAATTGAGCATCATGACATAAACTTGGATCAACACTATCTGTCTATCCTCAAATATTAATCTAAAACACGAAGGCAGTGTCTGGGGCTGGGGGTTTTGAGATTTTGCTGCGTATGTTAGCAGACGTCCTCATCACACAATCTTGCAAGAGCCGAAACTTTAGATTAGAAGCTACTTGCACGCTCAGAAATCTGGATAAAGCACAATAGGTCGCCAATGCACTCCACCCGCACGGACAGCTAACGCGAGCTTTTATGAAAAGGAGTGCGCATTTGTTGCAGATGTTTGAGCCGGAACTTCACTTTTTCGGCTTAATGTCCCCTAAAGCTGAGATTTACAAACCTACACCTAATCGGAGAAATAGCCAGCTCGCACCTTTCCATTTCAGCGGCAGAGTGCGCATGCCGCTGCAATCAAGATTATAGGGTCTTATAACGATTCTGCGTCCCAGCGTTTTCGAGAACGGGTGAAGTACTACATGTACCCGATAGGCTCCATCCCGCGCTGCCACTGGTGCATCTGTGGTGTCCGTGATGTAGGAGCTGCGCGCTTTGTCGCAGATGTGTGCTTGAGACCATCCCTTTCCGAAATATACTTCTCACCCTTCGGAAGCTATCCTACTCTTTCAAATCCAATATTGAAGAAATCTCCTTCGTCAGGTAGATTATCGAACTCAGCTCAGCAGGTCATCCCTCAGGTGGATTTTCGGATTTAGTTTAGCAGGCTAGGTAAGCAAAAAAGAGAAATTGAGTATTTCGCGGACACTGCCTTCAATTACATATTGAACGGAAGCCATTGTTGTACAAACAGTTTTTCCACTTTTTTATAATCCTTAGGTAGCACCTAGAGTCAACCAGTTAGTTATAGCCATCTAGTTCACCTATCTTTTCCTCAGGCCATTTTGATTACCTTTTCGTTGAACCTGATTATCTTCAGAAGTGGTGCTAATTATCTGATTAACAGGAAAAACAAAAATTAACGCAATTTTTGATCTTTGATGACCTCATGAGAGGAAAAATTCAGAAAGAAACGATTAGCCGTGGAGATTACCAGATCATACAAATAGTTGGGAATCTTGCTAGACGACAGTGCGCTTCTGTATTATATTTTATACATTTGCAATGAATTATAATAGAAATGATTGTAGATAGGTGGCATGAAGCCTGTCTATTGACCAGCAGAATACAAAGCTTCCTTATGCTTCATTACAAAGCTCCCCCCTTCTCGGAATTTTATTGCACGGGGCTAGCTCAGTGTTTGTTGTATTTGAGGTACAATGGTATTTGCACAGTACTTGACAGCAGTTATATGAGTTGCAGGATTTAAAATAAAATCTCAAAAAAATTCATCGCACTTCATCAAAATATCTATTTCAGATCGAGTTTCCTGGTGAAAAACACGACAAAAAGTTCGAAGAAAGAAGGCAAGCGCGTTGATAACTTCTGTCCGACTCATTATTTGCAATTGCACCATTACATCGATCTGACATAAATAATCTATATATAAATAAAACTTAGTGTCTGTATGGTTCCGATTTATCTGTCTGTGTTCTATAAAAACGTCCGCCTTTAAAGACCCCTACGCAAATTATAAGCTACTTTTAAAGGTAAATCGATTTATCGATTTCCTCACTGTTGGGGAAGTGAAATTCGACATGCTCTAAACACTCATTTTCCAAGGCACATTCTACAGGGTGCGGCAAAAGTCTGGGAGCCTAGTACTTTTTTCATATAACATGGGAAGGGAAGTACCTAGAAACGAGAAATTTGGCGCACACATGATTCGAACCATTGCAGATACAGCACAGTTCTTGAATTTCGAAATTGCCTCTTTTGGCTTCCACGCAGCCCTACAAAATCTTGGCAAGTCCGCCTGTCATGGCACTCAGGTAGTCGTAATGGAATTCGCCCCACGCCTTCACAATAACTGCTTCTTTTACCTTGGCAAATGTGCAGCACGATAGAGGAAGCTTTTATTTACAACATGCTTCCAAAAGAATTTTTGCATTGCTTAGGAATAAAAATATTGGATTTTTAATTAGAAGCATGTGTACGTGCATACCGGAATTTTGGCTACAATTGCGCGAATAAAAACCTAAAACTATGAGTATAAAAAGTGTTTCCATGGCCGAATTTCAATAGATTTTAATTTGGAAGACGTATGCAAAAAACACAGCCGTGGTCCCAGTGCCTGTTGAGCATTCTATAGCTTTTAAATTTGTTTTGAAGACGGATTTCCACTGGCACGTAGGTAACATTCGCAAACTTTTATTTTATGCAAGAATAGCTCCTGGCAAAAGCAAAACTAAGATACAATAGCGCAAAGCCTCTTCTATGTTGTGTGCATCGAAGTTTTGTAAAATATTAACAGCATTTCTACCTACAGCAAAAATTGTATTAGGTTGTCAAGAAAATAATGTCCGTTTTTATTTGCTTGCTTTAACAAAGCAAACAGACTGAACCCAACAAAGGGTAAGGGGTACTGTTCGATAGAGCAAAGCAAGCTCTACAAGATGGCACTCATGTCTTTGCGCCAAGCTCGATCCACTGAGAGTTCGAACTCAAAATCTAAAGATTTCCAAATGCCCAAAAAATCGAAAAAAATCAGATCTTCGTCCAGATAATTTCTACGGACCTCCCACTCGCTCATATCAATACTATCGATATCAGATATCCATATGTGCGATTGGCGTATTTTTTCCTTGACTAGAAACTGAGAAAACGAAAATTTCCCTGATTTTCTCAAAGCAATGCTGAGCCGTTTCTGCATATGTAGTTTTATACTACAAGCCTAGGTAAGCATAACTGTAGGTTTTCAGCCTATTTCGAGCGGTACTTTTCGAGAATTGTCGATTTTAGCACTGAAACTGAAACGAAAAAATCCGAATTCGTTATTTTTCGAAAACTACCGCTTGGAATGGGCTGAAAATCTACAGTTATACTTACCTAGGCTTATAGTATAGAACCACACTTGCAGAAACGGCTCAGCATTGCTTTGAGAAAATCAGGGAAATTATCGTTTTCTCAGTTTCTAGTCAAGGAAAAAATACGCCAATCGCACATATGGATATCTGATATCGATAGTATTGATATGAGCGAGTGGGAGGTCCGTAGAAATTATCTGGACGAAGATCTGATTTTTTTCGATTTTTTGGGCATTTGGAAATCTTTAGATTTTGAGTTCGAACTCTCAGTGAATCGAGCTTGGCGCAAAGACATGAGTGCCATCTTGTAGAGCTTGCTTTGCTCTATCGAACAGTACCCCTTACCCTTTGTTGGGTTCAGTCTGGTTGCTTTGTTAAAGCAAGCAAATAAAAACGGACATTATTTTCTTGACAACCTAATAAATACTAAAAATTCTGGTCTTTCGCTTTGCAAAAGTACTAATTTGGTAATCTTCATTCTTACAAAAACTTGTGGCAGCCATTTCCATCCAAATAAAGTGTATTTTGTAGAGGATGACCGCAGCATCATGTGGCATAAAGTTGAACTCAAAACCACCAGTACCTTTGTAATTGCAATACTGCAAAGTTAGGCTCCCAGACTTTTGCCGCACCCTGTAATTTCAAAGTCGGCAGGATGCGGCAGTTCGTCTCAAAGCTGTCCGCGCATGGTAGAAGAGTCTGAAAGCGTAAGTAATGCATTTTGTAGGCCTAACTAATTTGATTTCGGGTGGGACCGGAACCGCAAACTAGGTCAGTAAGAATTTCAAAAGTGTAAGTAAAACATTTTGATTAAAGTAATTTGAGTCTCGGGTGAGGCCAGGACCACCAGCTAACAGATAAATAATTACATTTGTTCGTATAAGTATGGTTTGTCTTCCTCTCTTACACAGATAGTAGTAGTCGAAAACAAAACCATTCAAATTGTGGAATTCATTACTTTGCAAGTCACGGAGGGTGCATGGTTGATGGCTAGAAAATTAGGATAGATTGTTGTACCTTTTTTAGATGTTCGTGCAGACCGCACATTCTTTTCTCTAAGGCGAAAAGCTTGTAGTGAGTGTACTGTCTATTCCGGAGGGTCTACAGCAGTTCTAGTGAATCGACTTCTAAATGTAGCTGAAGGGTATCACAATCATTGTGAGCAAGCAAATGAGCAAATTCCGTTTTTTTAACCCATTGACGACGATGTGGACCACCGGTGTCCTACGCACTTTCTGCCGCCAGGGAAGATGTGGACCACCGGTGGTCCGCACCCCTTGCAGAATCATATCCTTTCCTGGTCTAGGATTTCACCAAAGTTAAGAATTTTTCCCAATTTTCTGCTTTTATGGAACCTGTAGATTTCGTCCAGATAGATGACTGTAGTTGTTTACAAAACAACTTAAAGTTCGGAAATAATCACATGCCGAAAGTGTTGTGCAAAATCGCGTCATCCCACAGCGCCGCCACGCAGAATTAGGCGTCGTCGGGTGTAGGTCAATGGGTTAACAAAGAGTTTTATGGCTGATCACAGATTTGATTGTTATCCGCTACTAGTGAGCCAGTATTCAAAGGTGCTACGTTTGCACTTGTGTGCTTCGGACCGCACCGCAATTTCCCGCTATTGGAAGATTTTTGAATTAAGCTAAGGATTCTCTATATACTAGATAGAGGAAACTTGAGTGCATCCGAATACCAAACTAGTCATTTCTACATCCATCAAGTCATAAAAAGTAACTTTGAAAGTGAAATAACTGAGGTTGTAAATGGCCATATTGGTTGATACGTGATAGTAGAAGTGTCGCGGCTCCGCGATGCGAGCGCTTTTGGAAGTAAAGATGCTGAGAGCACTGTTGCCGCGCTATCCAGCAATGATTACGGTAGTTTCTCACGCACGGCCGCATTTGCCTCCGGACCCCTTCTTGCCTTGGTGAGTGCCAGCCAAAGGTCTATATATAGCGGCGGTGCCTCATCTCGGTGTCTGTCTGCTTTCGTTTTTGATCTATATTATTTTCTTGTATAATCGTTCGTGCTCGCGCGGCGGTCAAGCTCCTCTTTTGGATACTTCTTTTACGGTTGCGGTCGAGTGAATAGAAACTGGACTTTGGATCGATAATAAGCCGTGGATTTCTTGGAACATTCTTGGATAGCAAATCCAACAAAGTTGTGGGCGGAGAGGCGTGTTGGTTTTCTACCTTGGCGAAGCGAATCTGCACGGGTGAAGCTTCGGGAGCACATTTATCATTTGTATCCACGCGCAACATCGAAAGTTTGGGAAGAGGACCTCATCCCGTGTTGGATAACTGCTTTAGTAATGTAGTTCAGTAGTAATTTAGCTTTGTAGTTCAATACAGTTATTTTTTAAACTTTACAATGTTCTATTATGTAATTGCTTTCATGAAATTACTTCGTAATAACCCTTCTTCATGTTACCATCCGGATTACTAACAAGGAATGCTAACTTCGTCTAAATGTACGACAAGTAAAGAGTGATTTTATCGCATTGAGGTTCGGATATGATCTTCGAAACGCGTATGTGACGTTGATGTTCTCGTGATTATATCCATTGTTGCGAGCAATTCATGATGCAAGCGTTAATAATTCAAATCGCTCTTCGCAACCCATGCACACCTTCAGGCAGTTCTTATCGAGTTATGAATAATGCTTTTTTACTTCTGCGGATTGAGCCGATCTGGCCTGGACCAAGATGTTCTTGAAACTTCTTCACGACACTATTTCATATGGGCAACGCCATCCCGAGAATCGATTTGAGTGTTAAAGAAAGCCTCTGTTTTATGGAGCTTCTCTAATGAGCTTGATGTATGGGACTGCTGGTTTAGCAAGTAAAGCATTCATCCATTTCGGATAGTCGATCTTAATCCAAAGGTATCTGAGACTCGTCATGTGCGTATCTAACATCTTTCAGAGAGCTTGTGATGCATCATCGTTTTGAGCATTGGTGTGCAGGGAATCCATGGAGACATTGGGTTTGAACTTGTTGTGCAATTGCCTTGATGATTGTTGAGTGTTAGATAAGGTGCGGGTGCTTCAAAAGTTGGCTCACGATGTCATTCAGAGACCACGAAATGCGATCTGTCGGCCATTCAACACGGCTGATTGCGGGTCGAATTTTGACATTCAATTTCTAATACTCGCAATCATCTAGTAATCAATAGTCCGAAGTTATTCAGCTTTCTACATTGACTTAGATAATCTTTCTTCAATGCAGACCTGTAGATGTGGCGTCTGCTTGCTGTAGCTCAGAAATAATATCCAATCCATGTTGAAATGATAATGAGGTAACTAAGTAGTGATCAAAAAACGGAACTCATAGGCATGAATAAGCAACTAAAAATCTTGGAAACCTGTCGAACATGTAGATGACTTGTCATTTTCGGCATGGGAGTTTGGCAATTTTACCGTCAAGTTTCCTCTGAATGGGGAGACGGTCGAATGGCGCGTATTGATCGGGTATCACTGGCTAAGAGAACCACCTAGAAGAGTCCAAACCTACTATGTTTCTTCCGGATCTCACTACATAATCCTCCCATAGGCTTCCTTGAATACTGACAAATTTTTCGGAGCCTGAAAAGCTCCCTTTTTTGAAATACGGATCTATTGCGGCAATAGCGACTGACGAAATGCGCGCCTTCTGACACACTCCTCTGAATGCAG